TATCAGAATGGTCAAACAAATGGCAACTTCAAATCTCAACAAATAAATGCTCTGTCTTACGTATTGGCAAAAAAATAATAATCAGAAAATAAAATACAAGCTGAATAGTCAAGACCTTGTTGATGATCCAAACTCTGTCAAGGACCTTGGAATAATCATCTCTAATGATCTAAGTGCTAGAGCCCACTGTAACTACATAGCCAAAAAAGGCATTAAGAGTTGTTAACCCAATCCTACGTAGCTTTTTCTCTGGTAATATCACACTACTAACTAGAGCATACAAAACATTTGCTAGACCAATACTCGAATACAGCTCATCAGTCTGATATTAGCACAGTTGAGAAAGTCCAGAAATATTTCACAAGAAGAGTTCTCCACTCCTCTACTCGTTGTAGAATACCTTATGCCACCAGACTTGAAATTCTAGACCTAGAAAACCTTGAACTACACCGTCTTCGGTCTGATCTAAGTGTGGTATATAAAATCATACATTACAATGGCTTACCTGTCAATGAATACTTCAGCTTCAACCATAACAACACAAGAGCACACAATAGATACACTCAAGGTTAACCGTACCAAACTTGATTGCAGGAAATACGACTTCAGCAACAGAGTGGTCAATGTCTGGAATACTCTCCCTGACTCTGTGATTTCTTCCCCAACCCCAAAAACTTTAACTTTAGACTGTCTACTATTGACCTCACCCCTTTCCTAAAAGGTCTGTAGGGGGCATGCATAAGCGCACCAACGTGCCTACCATTCCTGTTCTATTGTTTCTTTTTTTATTTTTCTTATATATATCCATTTCATGTATTCATAAGTATGTATATACTTATACCTATTATCTTGTAAGTGATTGACAAATCAAAATAAATAAATAAAATGTCTCCCCTGGTCTCTCTCTTCACTAGACTAGCTAGGCCCAGTTCCTGTAACCATTCTTCATGTTTTATTCTCCAGTCCCCTAATCATCCTGGTTGCTCTTCTCTGTACTTTTTCTAGAGTCCCAACATCTTTTTTATAAGTGTGATGACCGAAACTGGATGCAGCACTCTAGGTGTGGCCTTACTAAGGCTTTATAGAGTAGTATTAGTATCTCACTTGATCTTGATAGTATCCTTCTGTTAATGCAACTTAGGATTGCATTAGCTTTTTTGGCGGCGGCTGCACACTGCTGGCTCATATTTAGCTGGTTGTCCACTAAGACTCCAAGATCCCTCTCACAGTTACTGCTATTAAGCTCAGGGATGGGATCCGACCGGTATAACTACCGGTTCTGTTGCTCTGCGTTGCGTGCGCATGCATGCATCACGCAAGTGCAATTTATGACCTGCTGAGCTGCCCGGACAGCTGAGCAGTGCTGCGTGCAGGTGCACAGCAGTTAGAAAAGCTCTTTTTTCCTGCTTTTTCAACCGCAGCTGTGCCGCGCAAAGCAGCTGCAGTTGAAAAAGTAGGAAATAAAGGACAGGTAAGAGCCCAGGCGGGTGGGTGCGCCAAAACAGCACCAGACACAGAACCGGTTCTGTGTCTGCTGTTCTTCAGAGCTACCGGTTCTGTAGAGTCAGACAGAACTGGTAGAATCCCACCCCTGATTAAGCTTGGTTTCACCCAGTCTATATGTGTACTTTTGGTTTTTCTTGCCCAAGTGTAAGTTTTTACTTTTCTCTACATTGAATTTCATTTTGTTAGATATGGCTCCGTGTTCTAGTCTGTCAAAACCCATCTGGATCTTGAGACTATCTTCCAGGGTGATAGCTACTTCTGCCAGCTTAGTATCATCTGCAAATTTGGTAAGTTCTCCTTCTATTCCCTCATCTAAGTCGTTAATGAAGATACTGAAGAGTCCTGGGCCTAAGATGGACCCTTGTGGCACCCCACCACTTACTTCCCTCCATGTAGACTTAGACCCATGAAGGACTACACTTATAGCAACTAAGACATCTTGCTTCTCATCCAAAACTAAAGAAGCTTCTTGAGCGAGAAGCAACATTTTTGAACAAAAAAAGTAAGAAAATCCAGTCTGTCTTTTAAAAAGCACCTTTGAAACAACCATGACCTGGATGAATGTGAATCTCCACAGACATACAACAGCTAAGCGAGGCCTCTGTCAAGCCTCATATCACAGGAGTACACCTCCTCACATTTTGTAAATATTTAAGTATATCTTTTCATGTGACAACACTGAAGAAATGACTCTTGGCTACAATGTAAAGTAGTGAGTATACGGCTTGTATAAGTGTAAATGTGCTGTCCCCTCAAAATAACACAACACACAGCCTGTCAACTCGTAAAACATTCCAATGCTTGTTTTCAAGTTGTCATAAACAGGGTGGGGGGGGAATCTGAAGGAACAGTATGGCAGTTTAAAACCAGAAGTACATTCCCCACTTATCTTACAAAGACTGTAGCTAGGCTACCGGATCCTCTGCCCATGAAAATCCTTTACTGGAGAACGTGATTGATGACACCCAGCTCATGAACGTGCTTCACTGGGAGAATCTGATTTATGAAACACCCAGGGGAGAGGGGGGGAAACAGGGTTAGAGGTGACTGTAAATTTCGTATGCCAGAGTTGGCTTCATTTAGTGCCAATATGTTGCTCTGAAGAAATCTTTTGGATTCTTTTGAAGTTTGGCTCGAGGCTCATGATTTAATTAGGGCAATCACCAGAACCCTGACACAACCATTAATGTCTAAACTGCTTGCAACAAAAGTGAGTACACCCTAAGTGTCCAAATGGGGACCAAAGTGTCAATATTTTGTGTGGCCACCATTATTTTCCAGCACTACCTTAACCCTCTTGGGCACAGAGTTCACCAGAGCTTCACAGGTTGCCACTGGAGTCCTCTTCCACTGCTCCATGATGACGTCACGGAGCTGGTGGACGTGAGAGACCTTGTGCACCTCTACCTTCCATTTCAGGATGCCCCACAGATGCTCCATAGAGTTTAGGTGTGGACACATGCTTGGCCAGTCTATCACCTTTACCCTCAGCTTCTTTAGCAAGGCTGTGGTCATTTTGGAGATGTGTTTGGGGTTGTTATCATGTTGGAAAACTGCCCTGCGGCCCAGTCTCCGAAGGGAGGGGATTATACTCTGCTTCAGTATGTCACAGTACATGTTGGCATTCATGGTTCCCTCAATGAACTGTAGCTCCCCAGTGCCGACAGCACTCATATAGTCCCAGACCATGACATTCCCACCACCATGCTTGACTGTAGGCAAGACACACTTGTCTTTGTATTCCTCACCTGGTTGCTCCCACACACGCTTGACACCATCTGAAGCAAATAAGTTTATCTTGGTCTCACTGGACCACAGGACATAGTTCCAGAAATCCAGATCCTTAAGTCTGCTTGTCTGCAGCAAACTGTTTGCGGGCTTTCTTGTGCATCATCTTTCGAAGAGGCTTCCTTCTGGGATGACAGCCCTGCAGACCAGTTTGGGGCAGCATGCGGCGTATGGTCTGAGCACTGACAAGCTGACTCCCTACCCCTTCAACCTCTGAAGCAATGCTGGCAACACTCACATGTCTATTTCCAAAGCCAACTTCTAGATATGACGCTAAGCACAGGCACTGAACTTGTTTGGTCAACCATGGCGAGGCCTGTTCTGAGTGGAACTTATCCTGTTAAACCGCTGTATGGTCTTGGCCACCATGCTGCACCTTTGTTTCAGGGCCTTGGCAATCTTCTTATAACCTAGGCCATCTTTATATAGAGCAACAATTCATTTTTTCATATCCTCAGAGAGTTCATTGCCATGAGGTGCCATGTTGAACTTCCAGTGACCAGTATGAGTGAAAGTGATAACACCAAATTAAATACAGCTGCTCCCCCTTCACACCTGAGACCTTGTAACACTAATGAGTCACATGACACCAGGAAGGGAAAATGACTACTTGGGGCCCCATTTGGACACTATCACTTAGAGGTGTACTCACTTTTGTTGCCAGCAGTTTAGACCAGTGGTCGCCAACCGGTGGGCCATGGCCCACGGATGGGCCGCAAGAAAATTTTGGTGGGCTGCAGGGAAATGTCACCCACAGAGCACCCCCCCCCCAAAGCAATTAATCCAGGCTGCACAGGAACACAAGGCTGTGCTGCCCACATGGCCTGCAGGAACCCTCCTCGCCCACTCATTCCTTACCTGGCAAACTTGCCTGCTAAGTTGCTATTTTTCCTTTTTTTTTTTTTTTTACCATCAGCTGTTCTGCTGTGCCTGGAGATTTAGATTAGCTAGGAAGCAGGAAATGGTCGGATTTCTTGCTTTCTAGCTAGTCTTTAGAGCTTCGGCTCTGCTTTTAAGCACAGCCAAACCTCCCTTGGGACTGAAGGTTCTATTATTCAGTGCAGACCCACGGCAAGCAAATTTTATGTGACAGACTCAGGTAGCCGATGGCAGATAGATAGATCACTGAATGATTCTGTGAGCAACTCAATCTGCCTGCCTGCTTTGCCTGATTTTGGGTAAGTTGCTTCTTTTGTTATAAAAAACTCAATATTTATATAAATATTTATAATATTTACATACAAGCCATGCCCAGCCAGTCACATGACCACCAAGCCACACCCACAAATTAGGCCACACCCACAGAACCGGTTAGTGGACCCTGGGATTTAAAATTATGAGTTTGGTGGGTCCCTGAGGTCCAAAAGGTTGGCGACCCCTGGTTTAGACATTAATGGCTATGTGTTGTTTATTTTGAGGGGACAGCACATTTACACTGTATACTCATTACTTTACATTGTAGTCAGGTATCATTTCTTCAGTGTTGTCACATGAAAAGATATACTTAAATACTTAGAAAATGTGAGGGGATGTACTCACTTCTGTGATATACTGTAATTCTAGCAATTGCAGCCGCTTGGCCTGCTCAGATGTTGACCATTCCCAGAACCTGAAGTGCCATGCCATGAAAGGAACGCTTTGTATCATAGAGATTAGAAGGAACTCTGGAGATCACCTGCCCACGAGCACAGGATCCAGAAGAATACCTTGGGGATGTCAGAAGATCCTTCCAGGACCATGTCCATACTCTTTCCTGGGGCCAGTTCCATTCTCAGTGGCTGAAGCTTGAACACAGGACCTTGAGATTCTGTCTTTGCGGGGATGGTCGGGCTCTTCGTGCTGGCGCTGATGGCAGGGAATGTGTTGTGCTGGCGAAATGGGGCAAAACCTTCAGTCATCCAATAAAGCTGATGGGTGCGACGCCCACAGTTGGTGATCTTGAAACGATAGCAGCAGGGATCCAAACTAGCAAAGTGACAGAAGACAGACCTACTATACAATTGCATTTCAGAGGAAGCAATCATGTGCAAAATAAGCAAATGAATAAAGACAAAATATAAGAGAAGGAAAATCTAACTGTAGATTACACTCATACCGCTCATCACAAATAATTTTAACCTTGCCTATGTCAATTTCAAAACGGATCCAGGCTGCTGCAGCCATCTTTTCATTTCTTTGCTTGCCACACAGTAAGGGTGTAGGGGATGGGGAAGGCTTGGAATGTCAAACCAGACAGTAACAACAGATTGCCCCATGGGAACCAAAGTCATCTCAACAGGTGCTGGCCAGCCTGGAAGGAGTTACAAGGGAGATGCCAGAACACCCAATTGGACAATTAGGTGACAAGGAGGGGTGGGATATCTATTCTTTAATTATATGAAAACTGTGGGAAATAGTTAAGAGTTGGTTTTGCTTTCATGCATGCCAAAATGATGTATTCAATAAAACACTTCTTTGAGAAATCTGAACATCTTGGAGTGTTGACTTGGTTGGGTTTGTCACTCGGAACCTTGATAGGCTATTGATGAAGCATATGATACACCGCTTCATATCACTTTTCTTTCTTGAGGATCTTGTCAACTCCATCCAACCCTGCTTTTCTAAATCATTCTGTTTTTCTCAACCTCGCTGTGGCAGTCCCTCAAATATTGGCAGACTGCTGTGATGATCCAGGGCATGACACAAAAGCAACACAACCAGAGAACAGGCCTAGCTCCCCTTTATTGCTGCAACTTTGCCCCCAAACATCCCCACGTTTACTACAAGTCCTGGAGCAAAGCTCTCATATGCACCTTCAACAGCCTCTGTTAGTCCAGTAAGCAAGATTTGCAAAAAAGGCCTCCTGCAGCCCTCTGGCAGTGAAAATGGAGTTCTATCACAGTGCTGCAGGAGGCCCTTGCAGCCTAAAACGGAGGGCCCATGTGCACCCCTCCTGAGCTCCATTTTAATTGGCAAGAGTGCTAGGAAAACAAACTACTAGCAAAAGTGGCATTTGATCACAAGGCAAGGAGGCATTGAGAAATGTTTTCCCTTTTGCATTTGTGCATCCAAGAAGGGACAAGAAAGGAGAAAAGAGGAAAGAAAAAGAAAAAGAAGGGAAGATGGGAAGGAAGAACAAAGGAGAAGGAAGAGGGAAGGAAAAAGAAGAAAAGGGAAAAAGGAAGGAAGATTATAATGAGAGGGAGGGAGGATTTGGGGGAAGTCTTGCATTAGCACTTGGCCACCAGCATCCCTGCTGCCCTTTTGCCAGCCCCTTGTCCCCTCCTCACCTCTCCTTGTGGTCTCCCATCCTATCACTGAGGATGCTTTGGTTACAAAGCCAGGTCACCTTACATGGAGAGGGAATGAGCCTCCCTCTGACCCACATACTTTGCCCCCCTGCACATACCATGAGCCATTTAGCCAAGGAGAGCAAGAACAGCAGCAGCAGCCTCGAGGAGGAGGTAAGAACAGTCAGGCACCCCATCAGAGAAGTGGGCTGGGCTGGGCTGGGCTGTGGGGTCCCGGGGCTCTGGGAGTTCGAGGGCTGGGCTGGGTGCTTGCCCTCCACTGCCTAGGGCCCTGGACAGCCTGCACTGCCATCCAGGGATCCTCTGCATGGCCTGAGAGGGGTGGCAGGGCTCCTCTGGAGGACAAGGATTTGGCCCTCTCCCTGGTCTCATCTTCCTCCGCTGGAGACTCCCAGATCCCTCCCCCAGCCCCAGGTTTTAACCTTAAAATGACATATTTAAAGCAGACCTTCTTCTGAAGAAATGCGTAGCCAGCCAGGAGCTGCATATTAAGCAAAGTCCTTGCCCCACTGTTAGAAGATTTTCTGATCCCAAACCTGCATTTCTGATGTCCCTCACCAAGCATTTTGAGTTGATATTCAAACCGTCTCATGCAGTTCTATGAGAAGCATCATTAGATCACTGAGTTCCTGCCTTCTTCCATAATTTAAATCCACGTCCTAGCCAATGAAACATTTGTGTCTTGACTTTTTTCCCCGTGTGATTCCCCTTCAAATATCCCAAAATGTGCTGTTATATTACACTCCTAAACCTTTTCACTGGCTTTTCTCTGCAATCTTGCAGCTTCTCTGAATATGCATCCAAGGAATCTCTCAAGTTCTCTCTGAGTTTATTAAAATCAGCTCTTTTAAAATTCAAGACTCTGGTGTCATTATGTTCTATTGCTTGTGTTTGTGTTATGTTGAATTCTAGTCTGACATGGTCACTCTCACCCAAGGTTCCTGCAGTTTCAACTCCCTCTATCACTTCTTCTCTGTTTGTAAGAATTAAGTCCAATATGGCTGTCCCTCTAGTTTCACCCTCTACCTTTTGGATAACAAAGTTGTCAGCTAGGTTGGTTAGGAATTTATTTGATTTCTCATTTGGTGCAGAATTAGTTTTCCAATTGATATCAGGATAATTGAAGTCTCCCATTACTATTGTGTGTTTCCTACATATATTTGTTAGTTGCTTGGCAAAAAGGAAATCTATTTTTTCTGCTTGATTGGGTTTCCTATACCTATGGCCATGTGATTCTTTTTTTTTCCTTTATATTGACCCATATTCTAGGAGGTTTTCATCTTTGGTTTCATGCATTTCTGTAGCACTATAGTGGTCCTTTACATACAGTGCAACTCCACCTTCTCTTTTATGGGGTCTGGTTTTTTTAAAGAGTTTGTATCCTTCTATCAGTATGTTCCAGTCATGGGTTACATCCCACCAAGTTTCTGTTATTCCAACTATATCATATCTACCTTCATGTATTCGTAGTTCGAGTTCACTGTTTGTTCCCCAGACTTTGCGCATTTGTATATAGGCACTTGATATTTTTAATTCTGGCGCTGGGAATGCTTCTTGTCTCCTATTTGGTGTTTGAGTTTGTCTTCCTTCCTATCCCTCTTTACTTCATTATTTGACTTGCTTTCTAGGGGTTTTTGCTTGGAATTAGGTCCTGGAGATCCTAAAGATTGGTCACCCTCCCCCCCTCAATTTTAGTTTAAAGCCCTCCTGATAAGCTGAGCCAGTCGATTTCCAAAAACATTCTTCCCAATCTTTGTGAGATGCAACCCATCCCTTGCCAGAAGCTCATCATGGAGATAGTACAGACCATGTGTCAGCCTTCAAGATTTTCTCCCTTTGCTTTGCATCTTTCGGCTGTCATAAGTAACGGGGTGAGGAGGGGGAGAATGGTTATGGGAAGTGAGCTGGAGGTGTTACAAACCAGAACTGTATAAACTGGGGGGGGGGTACATTCTTGCTTAGGTTTCTATCCTATGCTATGCACAGCTGCAACCCTTTATCAAACTATGTCAAGGTCAACGGACAGAAGCCTCATCACCACCTGGAGATGCCCACATGATGCCCACACAACTTTTAATTGGAGGAGCCAAATGAACTATTGGGGGTGGGAACGTTGCCATTACTTTGAAAATGTGATTTACGCGCCCATTTTCTCAGATTCAGAATTCTTTTGTTGCTACCACTTGATTTCCAGTAAAAGATATTTTTTCTCTGATTAAAGGAGTCTAAGTATTTCTTTCTTGGATTTTGAATGGAGCACCAGCTGACATTATTCTGAATCTCCACATTACCAGCCCACCCGGAGAATTAATAAATTTTCTTCCGAGGGGGTCTGAACACAATGTCAAATCCAGCCAGCGACCAAGAAGACCTGGGAGCAACTGGAGGACAAGATTCTCTGCTGCTAGAGGAAGCAGGGGAAGCTGACTTGTTAGCAGAACTAAATCTTGGGGAAAAACCAGCTGCAAAACCCAAATGGTCCCTGAGAGTTGGTTGGAAGGATCCTGAGGAAAAGCCTCTTCTAGGAGTGACCACTACCCATCGGTGTGGGAGAGAGGAGCCATGGCAGGAGAAGGAAAGAATGAATTTTTTACTAACTCAAGCCATGCATCTTCTAAATGAAGCTATCGGAGAAGCTCAAAGGTATGAGGGAGAGGAGGGGGAGGCAGCCCCAGCCAGAAGAATCAGAGCAGCCACCCCCATAAATCAACCCGGGCTAGCGCAACAGGCAGCAGCAGTCCAGGGGCCCCCAGCGGGAGGGGTAATTGCCAGAAGACGTAGAACTCCAAAGTGCCTCTGTTGGAAGTAAAATATGGGGGGGGGGGGGGGGGATCCCAAGGAGTTAGGATTCTTCCTGGCACAAGTCTGGAGCCATATGGAGGAATATGGAGGGGATTTTTTCAGAACCTTGTTGCGGCTAACACAGCAGCTCTGCTTAGACAGTGCTCCCTTATTTGGGCAGGCTTTCTGACAGGCTTTACGATGAGGAAGCCTTCCAATTTCGGTCTGAGCGATCTCTCCGTCAGCTGTTTGGCACGAAGCCGGTCGGCTAATCCTGATCGAAGGTGCCGTCCGTGCTCTGGCTGTTTAGGTCTCCCTTAAACGGGCAGGCTGCCCAGCCGGCAAAAGCCTCTACGATGTAGCCTTCCTTTTAAAGCCAAAAGGCAAAGAAAACGAGGCTTGTGGTTGTTGCTATTAGTCCCTTAAGGACTGTTGTGCGGGTAATCCAAAATAAAAAATCTAAATAAAATACTGCCAACACCCCTCTATCTATAAAGTATAGAGGAGCAAGAACTAGAGACAGTGGCCCAGAAGGGGTGTGTCTTCAGTTTTTCTATTCAGTCTATAGTCAAACAGAGCTGAATACATCCCATGCATGGATTCTGTCAAAACCATTCTGTAGAACTACTTGTGCACCTAAGTCCTTGACTTTCTTGCCTAGCTGCTCACAATCAATATTGTTTTCAAGTCCTTTTTTCAAGTGTCATTTGTCCCTACATGTAGTAATAGACATGTAGTATGTGGATTTTATTATTTTGGTTAGGTTCTCAGCCACATCTTTGATTTTAGCTCCAAGGAGACAACATACCTCTCTGAATAGACTGTCTGGTCTACAGATGGCAGGTTCTGTTCCCTTGAGAATTGAATCTCCTATCACCAGCGCTTGCCTTTTTTTTCCTAGGGAGGTTTGGGGTGTTTTTCTATCTGTCACAGAAGCATTTGATGGTATTACTTTTTTAGGGACATTTGATGGTGCTTCTTTTCTATGTGTCTGCATGTTTTCTTCTCGTGAGAGTCCATGAAATTGATTGCTTAGCACCAGTGGAGCTGCATCAGAGTGGGTTGGTTTGGACAGGGGTTTTACACTAGGTTTATGTTTTTTTTTTTCTATGAGTGACATGTTTCCACCTGTCTTCTTCTTCCTCTAAGGGGTCAATTCTTTTAGAAGTTGTTTGATCATTATTATTATTATGTTCAATCTGGGCATATTCTTTTTGCAAAGTTTGGGATTTCTCATTTTGTGGGTTGAGTTTCAGAGTGGTTAGAGTTTCCTCTAGACCCTTTACTTTTTCTTCTAGTAACTTGATTAGTTTACATTTTGTGTGTGTGTGTTTGGGTATTCCATGGGCATTAAGTGTATACATGGAACATGTTCTGCAGATGACAAATAGTATCAGTTTTTTCTTCCTTGAGTGGATTTAAAAAAATTGAAAGTGAAAGTGTATAAAGTTTTACCACACATTTTTAAAAGGGAAAAATGTCCAATTATATATAATGTTCTATGGTTCAAAATTGTCTAGTTTAAAATTTTGAGGTTCTAGCAGATCATTTAGATTGTCCAATTTTAAAATTTTCAGTGTTGAGTGGGCTTAAGTGCGAAATTTGTTCTTAGGCTGTACTGGAATGTTCTATGATTGTCCCTTTCCTCCCTTCCTTCTTATGATCCTTTTCCGCCTGCCTTCTTGTGGGCTTAATTTATCTCTTTCTTTTCTGCCTTTATATATTCCTTATATTCCTCTACTCATATTTGATTTTTGCCTTGTCCTGTGTTGTCTTTTTATCCTCCCTTCCTACTTGCTTTTCTCCTGTCACTACCAGGTATTCAGCTCTCACTGCTTTTCTCAGTTCATGGCACGCCCCCCCCCCCATTGCCTGTTGGTCTCCCATGCTGCTCTGTTGCCTTCTCAGTCACCAGTTCGCTGATCCTCTTTGCTGAAATGCTCCACCAACAGCAGCAGCTTCCAGCTGCATCGATGCTCTCCTGTTGCTTTCCATGCTCCTCTCAGGATCTGCTTCGCTGTGTTGCTCCTCACTGCTAGCTCACCCGTCTGCCACGCCTATTTGTATCTGGCTTGTGATAAAATACTATCCCAAATTCCATTTCCTCTATTCTATTATCAAACCAGGTATCTTTCTCACAGTATCTTAATATTTTATTTTTTTCTGAAGTGAAGAACTTTGCATTGTTCTTACATTCATTATTCATTATGTTCATTACATTTCATTGCTATTCACTTCTCTAACCCAAGGGTCTTCAAACTTGACAGCTTTAAGACTTGTGGACTTCAACTCCCAGAATTCCTCCTCCAGTCATGTTAGCTCAGGAATTCTGGGAGTTAAAGTCCACAAGTCTTATACTTGCCAAGTTTGAAGACCCTTGCTCTAACCTATCAATTTACAGATTATTTTGAGTTTGGCTTCTGTCTTCTAGGGTAAAACATATCCTGTCCAGTTTTGAGTCATTTGCTAATTTCACAAAATTCCCTCTGCCTTTTTGTCCTAGTTGTTAACAAGAATGTGAAAGTGATTCAGACTCAGAAATAAATCCAACTGAGCAAGCTCTGGCCCATCTTAATCTGGACGGAATTATACTTACCTAACGAAATGTGGCTTGCGTAAGCTTGATTGAACGTCCCATGTGGGTCAGAGCCCTCTGGCTCCTGATCAACTACAGACAAAACGACTCTTACCTGAAATGGGGTCCCAGATTGATGGCAGGAGCAAATGGCTTGTCTGTGACAATGGTGGTTCCAATGCCAGTGGCCTGGACTGGAATAATATAAGAATTACTATTCTCTATAGCCATGCTGATTTTGTCCTGAAACAATACGGTATCATCCAAATTAACAGTAAGAGTAAGTGATATTTCTGCCTCTGGAGGAACCACCCCTTCACTGGGGTCAATTCTCCACTGCGAAGGAGTATGGGCCTGAAACACAATAAAAAAGACACAATCAATCAACTCATCTGTGCCAGATCTCAACATTTTAAAAGGCAAGTTACATATTAAGGAAATATAAATGTGTTAAATCATAATAAAAAACCCATCCTGCCCATTAAAATGGGTATACTTTTACTACCAAGAACTGACAAACAAAACATGTCAAGGATCCCTGAAGTTAAAACTTATTTTACATTGAGTTGTTATTTCTTAAGATTCTTTTGATATGCCATGCTATACTAAAGGGAGCACTTCTGAAATGGATGTGAGTTTGGTGGGATCACAAAATATACAAAGTAATAGAAAATGTAGAAGCTAAAGTGCTCCGGAACTTTAGAATTAAAATAGACAGGCACTTGCCACATAACACCCTAGAGTCTACAACTATCAATAAGAAAGACAAAACCTGTCTGAACAGTGGACTTGCCAGTACCCAGAGAAAGCAGAAGAGAAGATAACAAAACAAAACATAAAGACCTCAAAACGGCAAAAGAAAGCAAAGATATCATCAATAGTCATAGGCCCCCTGGGTGCAATCCGCAAACAACTTGAACAGCATGGGCATTGACCAATTCAACATTGATCAGTCAATTGCGAAAGGTAGCTTGACTCAGAACAGCTGATATCCTACGATGGGATATAAGCATCAACATCTGCTTATCTGAGGTCCTTGGGAAGGACTCACAGGTATATAAAAATGCCAAATCCAGTCTGAACATTTGGTTGTCTACAAATCACCATCATCATTATTTATTTATTTTGAGAAACTGGAAATATGTTATTATCAAAATTGTCAAAAATGTGATCCATCTATTTTCTATTCAAACAAAATCAAAGGATGCAGGAATATACGTTACTATGACAGAGATTTTCTGATGTTTTACAACATTTTGTACCATTCATATTATAATTATTATAATATTAATAAACCAGTAACTACTGATAAAAATTAAGTCAGATGTCTTTCTTTTTCTGCTTTCTTTTCTTAGTCTATACCTTTTTGTTTGTTCTAATTTTTACTTCTCCAAAGGAGCTCAGTATTTATCTCAGCAAAATGGTTTCTATCAAAGCCTGCCCCAAAGGGTTCTAAATCAGATTAAGAGACATCACTACCCACTGCTAAAGAGGCTCCGGCATATTATACAAATCCAGCTTGTTCAGTTAGCTTATGATCCAGCACATTGCACAAACCCAAATTCAGTAGTCAAAACATATGATACAAATGGGGCTATGGAGTTTATATATGCGCTGTATGTATTAGGCATCTACCAATTAGAAAAATGTACAACTCTGTATATCGTCAGTTGTAAGAAAAGAACGGACAAGGTAGTTGGTGGGGTCTGGAGCTGAGTTGAGTGTAAAGGGTGACTGGCCTTGAACCGCTCATGGGAGGAAGCAGCTGAAAGGGGTTCTGCTCTAAAGCTTCACAGAGTCTACCTGGCAGCTCTATAGTTAGTTTGTCAGTCTGGTGAGATTCCTATCCATAGGTGAGCAGCAATCAACCTGCCACTCTGATCAGCACCTTGTGAGACCTCTGGTTCCTTCTGCCTGGCAGGCTACTAAAACAGGCACTCCTTCTAGACTTCTTGGATGCCATTGACTGACAGCTACAGTCTGATTTTTAGTAATTCATTTAATTTTTGAACTAGAAGACCTCCAGAGTCCCGTCCAACCCTACTGTTCTATGGTCTATATTCCAAACTGCTAATTATTAACCTATATCTCTTCTTAGAATATCCACTGCTCCAAGTGCTGTCCATCTGGAAATGACTTCATGGGAGGCTTTCTCCTATAATCATGGCAAAAGCAATTAACAAAAAACACTTTTTCAGTTTTACTTCCCAACATAAGTCAGCTTCAAAATTTACTTACCATCTGTGCCTTAAATGGTGCAGGAATAACAGACTCGTTTGAAAGACAAAGTGCCCTGGAAACATTCTTTAAAACCTGGATGCAGCCAAAATCTATCTTAGATGGATGCACATAAACAACAGGACCTTCTCCAAAAGTCACCAGTTGGATTTTCTGTGGCAGGGAATAAAAAGAAGCAAGCAGAAAACATTAATACAGCAACAATTATTGTAACTTATTATGACTGGATACTGTAAAATAGTCTTCCACAATCTAAGCGACCTCTTGATGCATGAATGACAGAGAATCCTGGAAGGTGAAGTCCACACAATTACATTTAAATTGAGGAAGGTTAATTTTCATGCATGGTTGGATTTGGTGCTTAGGTATCAATTTAATACTTCATTTATATCACAGGTCAGGAGGCAAACCTAGTTAAGAGGGGGAAACGTATCTAAAACCTATTTTTTGCTGTGATGGACACAGCACTAGACTGGACTGGGTTCCAGGGTGCTGTAGCTGAAGCTCCCTCCAAGGGAATACCATTGAGTATTCCACTCAACTGTCGAGTTGGAGTATTTTTATTTATTTATTTTTTCATTTATTTATTTTGATTTGTCAATCGCTTACAAGATAACAGGTGTAAGTATATACATAGTTATGAATACATGAAATGGGTACATATAACAAAAATAAAAGAAACAATAGGACAGGGATGGTAGGCATGTTGGTGCGCTTATGCACGCCCCCTACAGAACTCTTAGGAAAGGGGTGAGGTCAATAGTAGACAGTCTAAGGTTAAAGTTTTTGGGGTTTGGGGAAGAAACCACAGAGTCAGATAGAGTATTCCAGACATTGACCACTCTGTTGCTGAAGTCGTATTTCCTGCAATCAAGTTTGGTGCAGTTAACCTTGAGTTTGTATCTATTGTGTGCTCTTGTGTTGTTATGGTTGAAATGAGGTATTCATTGACAGGTAAGTCATTGCAATGTATGATTTTATATACCACACTTAGATCAGACCGAAGACGGTATAATTCAAGGTTTTCTAGGTCTAGAATTTCAAGTCTGGTGGCATAAGGTATTCTACAACGAGTAGAGGAGTGGAGGACTCTTTTTGTGAAATATTTCTGGACTTTCTCAACTGTGCTAATATCAGATACGTACCGTGGGTTCCAGACTGATGAGCTGTATTTGAGTATTGGTCTAGCAAATGTTTTATATGCTCTAGTTAGTAGTGTGATATTACCAGAGAAAAAGCTACGCAGGATTAGGTTAACAACTCTTAATGCCTTTTTGGCTATGTAGTTACAGTGGGCTCTAGCACTTTGATCATTAGAGATGAGTACTCCAAGGTCCTTGACAGAGTTTGGATCATCAACAAGGTCTTGATTATTCAGCTTGTATTTTATTTTCTGATATTTTTTGCCAATATATAAGACAGAGCATTTATTTGTTGAGGTTTGAAGTTGCAATTTGTTTGACCATTCTGATACATAGTCAAGATCTTTTTTTTTTTTTTTGTAAATTTTATTGGTTTTTAAAGACAAACAAAAACAAACAAAACATAAAAACATACAACTTTCTTCCATAAGTATACAAGCAGTGTGTCGGTTGGTTTACAAATTTTTTGTGCATCCATTTCATAGTCTCAATTACAATTACATTGCATAATAATTCATATTATCAATAAAAAATTGAATACCCTAGTATCATTATTAATCATTTGACTATAATTTTGTTCATTCATACTTTGCGAGATAACTATAATTTACTTATTTTATAACAATTCATATAATCCTCCCAAATCTATCTAAGTCAGTCAATTTATAATAAAAACCTTCTGTTTTAAAATCCTTATCATACCTTGAGTGTATTTGCACATATGAAAACCAATTCATCTTTATACCTTGTTCCTCTAGTTTTTGCATAGATTTAAGTTCACCCTTTTCATTCAAAATTTCCCCATATCTAACTGTTTGTTCCTTCTTGTATATATAGGATAGGAAAATGCTTCAATAGTCGATAACCAGACTGGAATTTTCAAATAGCATTGTCTTTTAATCTTCTCCCAATTTAACCACAAAGACTCCCGTATATGATGTCTTCTAAAATAGCCCTGTGTTTTGGTTCCCTTATACCATAAAAAAGCATGCCACCCCAACAAATCATGTCCTTATAATGTCAACAATCTAGTATTTCTTAATGTTATCCATTCCTTAGCCCACATCAAGTTTGTAGCTTGATAGTACAACTCCCAATTAGGCAAACCAAATCCTCCTCTAATTCTAGCATCTTGCAAGAATTTTAACTTTATTCTCGCTTTCTTACCTTGCCATATATATTTCAACACAATTTTATTTAAATCTCCAAAGCAGTCTTTTCCAAGCCTAATTGGAATTGTTTGAAACAAATATAAGATTCTGGGTAATATATTCATCTTGATTGTTGAAATTATCCCTATTAGTGACAGTTGTAGATTTTTCCATTTCGTCAAGTCTAACGCTGTCTGCTGTTTAAGTTTAATGTAATTGTTCTCTTTTAATGTACTACATCTTGCTGTCAAATGTATCCCCAAATACTTAACCTTGTTCGTGACTTTAATTTTCAATAGGTCTGCCAATTCTTCTTTTTGTCTTAATAGCATATTCTTTGTCAAAAACTTTGTTTTATCTTTATTTATTTTCAAACCAGCCACCTTACCATATGCATCTATCTTTTCCAATAATTTTGGTGCTGTTTCTAAAGGGTCTTCTAAAATAAAAGCCAAGTTGTCCACAAAGGTTTGCAATTTAAATTCTTCCTTTTTAATTTTCATTCCTTTTATACTCTTTTCGTCTCTAATATTTCTATTTAACACTTCCAAAGTTAATACAAATAGCAAGGGTGATAGTGGGCATCCTTGTCTTGTACCTTTTCTTATATTGATGGAATCTGTCAATTCTCCCTCAATCATTACCTTTGCCGTTTGCTTATGGTATATGGCTTCTATTGCTTGAATGAATTTTCTGGCGAAACCCATCTGTTCCAATAATAATAGCATTAATCTCCAATTCACATTATCAAATGCCTTTTGTGCATCTAAAAATATCAAAGCCATTTGCTTTTCGGGGTGTGCCTCATAATATTCCAAAGTGTCCAAAATTACTCTCATATTATCTTTGATTTTTCTCTTTGGCAGAAATCCATTTTGATCAGGATGAATAAAGTTATTTAAGTATTTTTTTAAGTCTTTCTGCCAATATTGAAGCAAAAATTTTATAATCTGCATTTAGTAAAGAAATAGGTCTATAATTCTTAATTTGCAATGGATCAGCCTCTTCTTTTGGAATAAGTGTAATATAGGCTTCTGACCTTTTTTTTAGGTATCTTCTTCTTTGACATAACTTCATTCATGACTTCTAGCAATGGAAGGCTCAGCGATTCTTGTAATGTTTTATAAAATTCTGCCGGAAGTCCATCTGGGCCTGGTGCCTTTCCATTATTTTGCTTCTTAAGTGCTTCAGTTAATTCCATCATTGTTATATTGCTTTCTAACATTTTTTCAGTCTCTTTAGGTATCTTAGGTAGATTAGCATTCTGTAAATACTGTTTGACTCTTTCCTCATCAATATTCTCTTGCTTATATAGTTGCCCATAGAAGTCTCGAATAATTTCCTTTTTCTCATTATTACCGTAGCAAACTTGACCTTGATCATCTATTAACTGCAATATTTTCCTTGATTGTTTCTCCTTTCTCAATTTGTATGCTAACCATCTACCTGGTTTGTTTGCATCTTCAAAGTAGTTCTGTTTAGCACTTCTAATTTTCTGTGCTAATTCTTCTTTCTCTATTTGACCCATTTTGTGTTTAATTATGTCCAATTTTAGTTTAATGTCTTTTTTCTGTGGGGTTTTCTGTAGCTCTTTTTCAAGTTTTTTATGCTCGTCTTCTAAAGCTTTAGTGGCTTGCCTTTTCCTGATGTTCCTTTTTCTTGTATAGTCTATTATCAAGCCTCTAGCATATGCCTTCATTGTGTCCCACACATTCTGAATTGAAGTATCTTCTTTTTTATTTTCTCTAAAGAAAAAGGCCAATTCTTTCTCCATCCGCTGTGTGAAGTCCTTTTCCTTTAAAATAGTATTATTTAACGTCCATCTTGATCTTCTTTTTTGTCCTTTCCATTTAATTGTCACTGGATTGTGGTCTGCCCAAGTACTTGTTTCAATATTTGTTTCTTGAATATTAGATATTAGTTCTGTTGAAATCCAAATCATATCTATTCTGGACCATGATAAATGTCTATTTGAGTAAAAAGTGTATTGTTTGGTTTTAGCATTTCTTTCTCTCCATATATCTTTTAAGTTTATTTCATCTGTCATTTTAAAAAAGGATTTAGGGAGTCTTTCTATTTTGCTTTATTGTTGTTGCTGTATAATCCAATTTGTTGTCTACAATTCCATTGAAGTCTCCCATTATAACTATATTAACATAGTCCAGTTCAATTATTTTCCTATGTAATTTTTTATAGAATTCTTCTTGTTTATCATTCGGAGCATAAATTGCAATCAGGAGTGTTTTCATATTATTGTCCATTATTTCCACCATTAATACTCTTCCATCTTCATCAGTATGAATCTATTTTGCTGAGATGGTCTCTTTAATATATAAAACCACTCCTCTTTTCTTACATTGAGTCAAAGAAGTAAATATTTTCCCTAATTTTGGCTGGACCAACAATTGTTCATATTGTTTGTTAATGTGTACTTCTTGTAGACAAATTATATCAAATTTTAATTTCTCTAATTTATGAAAATTTTTCCTTCTTTTAGCAGCCGAATTAAGTCCATTTATATTCATTGTAATCAGTTTTTTCTCTTCCATGATTATGCTTTATAGTTAGGTTTGGTTGCTCTCATAGATCTTGGTTCACGTTGTTCTTTAGTTTCCACCTGTCCACCTACTGCGCCTTCTTCTTTTTCAGTCTCCATTTGGTCCTCTTGGAATTCAATTAATGAGACCTCTTTTTCTGCCTCTTCCTCTTTCCTTCCAAAAAATTCTGCGTAGAGTAATTCTGCTTTCTCAATTGAATCAATTCTGTGTCTCTGTTCTTGCCATGTAAACATTAATCCTTCTGGAATTAGCCATCTATAATTCACCTCTTTTTTCAGTAACATTTTAGTTAAGAATCTGTA